CCCAGCTCTTGATGTGGAAGGTGGTCTCTGTCAAAAGAAGGAGGTTCCAGCCCTCAGAACACATTGTTTTCGCCTGTCCTTACACTGTCCCGCTCGAACCCTCAAATCTGTACTGGAAGACGAGCAGGATAGGTTCGTTAAAATAAAAAGGCCACCTCCAGATCCGTTGGTGGAATGGAAGGTGATTGGGGATAAGAGCCATAAGGAGGACCCTCAACTGAGAGAAACTTCCCTCTCCCCTTTCCACTGGGGCACCCTTGGTTCTTCAGATGTTCTTAGACTATAACTTTCAGAAATCCTGGCCAGCACAGCTAGTGGTGGAGGCTTCTGGGAGTTTTGTTCCAAGAACATCTGGGGACCCAAGGTTGGGAAACATTGCTCCTGGGAATCTCTGCCTCTTTCAGAGTATGGGTAGCCCAGGGCCTCCAGTGTCTCTCCTTTGGCTCTCAGCAGTCTCATCTGTCCTGATATAGATGCCAATCCCCCATCAGATGAATGAAATTGCTGGTCTCTCGCCAGAAATAGCCATGTTCTCCATATTCAAGAGTACTCTGGGTGCCATACAAGCTTCTGGTAAGACCAGGATAGACATGGACCTGGTTATGGATCCGGTATTTATGCAAATCCATACCCAGGCAGCCAAACCAGTGGTGACCCCTACTATCCCTTTCACCTAGTAAGTCAATCTTGGCTTACCTTCTTTCCTGCCACCAACCCCCAAGAAGAGAGACATTTCCCATGTGTGTGAGAAAGACTGTGAATTTCTTTTTAAATGTCAAACCGCAAAGCCCATGATTGTGGATGCTGGGCAGGGTAGATCCAGAACTCAACCACACTCAACTTTGATGGACAGAGAAGGGAAAGAAGTTAGATTCTCTGGGATGCTAGATATACTCCTCTGCCACCCTGTCCTTGCATATCTCAAACCTTGCATATCTCAAACCAGACCTACAAACCTACAGGCCTTACACCTCACAACACTCAGGATGAAACCTCACCTCTGTTATCAGCTCAAGTCCAGGAGGTCCCAACCTCCTCTAGAAAGTGCAGCACAAGAGCCTCCTACTCTGGAAAGTGGACATCCTTCTACTCCTTCATGCAATATGACATGACAGACAACACTGAGGTCTCCTCCCAGTGAACCTTTGACTTTCTCCTCCATCTAAAGTGGAAGAGCCAGACTACATCATCTATCAAAGTATACCTGGCTACATCTTTACTGTTTCCCCCAACAGGGTCCCAAATCATGTATTCCATCTCTCTACCCCAATTATGAACTTGACCAGCTTTTCCATCCCTGTTCTTGTTACATACTGCCAAGCCACCTATGACTTACAGTGACCCTATGAATGATTGACCTCTAAAATGGCCTCTCATGAGCGCAGTCCTGCTCAACTGTCTCACAAACTGAAGGTCATGTTTTCCTCTGCTGAGTCTGTCCATTTCTTGTTCCGTCTTCCTCTTTTCCTGCTACCTCCAACCTTTTCCAGCACAGTTGTGTTTTCCACCAAGTCTTATCTTGAATGTTAAGGTCAAAGTTCTGCCCAGAGATATTGGGGGCTGCGCCTAGCACCTTCTGCATGTGAAGCCTATGTTCCACCTCTGTGGTGGGACACAAATGTTAGGCTAGGCTGTAGCTCATGAAAGCATCTTTCACAGCACAAACTTCTCTCACCTCTGGGATTCTGGCAGATTTGTGTGGTTTGCTTGAAGACTGATCTTCAGTCCACAAGAGTCCTCTTAAGTTTGATTTTACAAACACAGGAAGACTTGCTCATTCACCTCTCTGCCATGTTAAAGTGCTCTTCTCTCTAATTGCTCCCCTCTACAGATTGTCTCTGACATCTGTGCCTGGCCTGAGTGCACCTCTCAGATGCTTCCTTGTTGATCAGGGTTGGAAAAACAGAGGAAACGAGAGAGCTGCTTGTCTTAACCCCACCCACTCTGTAGGCAGGAATGGTTGGTGACTCCAGTTTTGGGACTGCTGTAAATCCACTCCAGGTTTTTATTTGTGGTTTACAGATGCTCTTGAAGAGTCTGAATGCTGTCCCCCCAGAGGGGTTCTCCTCCTTAAATAACTCCTGTAAAATGTGAGCTAAAACCCGGAGTGGATTCACAGCACCCCTAAAACTGGAGTCACTAGTCACCACTGCTGTTAGGTCAGGGTCAAGAGCACAGTATCTGTGGAGTTGCATCTAGTATTCTGGATTCGATGGATCATTGGTTAGATTGACAGTTCTCTGCGTGTGGGGAGAGATTCCTGGCAACTTGTCATTGCCCACACAGACGGGACCTCCTGAATAGGCTGAGCTTCTGTGCTTTGAGCACCGCACATCTTCCTGCTGACATTTCCACTTTGGATGCTAAAGTTTTTAAGGAAACGACAACAACAGCAAAGACTAACTGCTTAGTTCACAATTTATGATTCTCAATTACTGGTTAATTTCTGCTACAAATTATCTCAGATTAAAATAGTTTCTGTTTAGAAACGAACAGAAGTGAAAAATCAAACCCCAGAGACTTCTCTCCTGTTTTCTAATGAAAAAAATGTCTTGCGCTTGATTGGTATACCCGTCATGTGGATGCTTGCGCCTTCATCATATAAATGAAGTGCTGGGATCCTACCATGCTGGGAAGGCTCCACTGCGTTATGTTAATATGTGCTTTTAATTAGCTTTTTGTACACAAGTAAAAGCTGAGCAGTCCCAGGAGGAGGGGAAATATATCTGATATGGTTTTATTTAAGGGCCTAGAACTTTCCCCTCTATATTTTCTTTTTATGGAAGCGGGCAAGCTTCTGTCAGTTTATGTTTTCCCATCTCTCTTTACGAGGAGACTTCAACCCCCACCCCACCCCCTTGCAGAAACTCCTTGTCAGAGAGACGCCCTCGGAAACTACTTGGGCGTTCTTTACTGCTCCACATTCCGGAGGGAGATGCTGACTCAGCTGGATGTGAGAATTTAGACCCAAGCACGTCACCCCCTTCCCGTAGTTTTCACCCATCGGCGGCTGCAGAAATGAAAACTAATATAATTGGTGGTGGCGGCTGATTCAGTAAGCCACCCTGTGGGTTAGGAGCACACATTGTTTTATTTGTGTGTGTGTGTGTGTGTGTGTGTGTGAGAGAGAGAGAGAGAGAGAGAGAGAGAAGTTCTGGTACATTACCTTAACAGACAGTAACAAGGTGGTTTGTTAAAAGAGAGTGGTACTATTTTTCCCTTGATTTGAGGGTTCGTTATCATGAACCCTGAATCTTATTTATACCAGCTAAATATTGCTAGATCAATTAACACCCTTCCTTGGGCATTTGGTTTGTTGTTGTTTAGAATAAAAGAGGACTTGAATGCATCAAAATCAGCCAGATGGAACTTTAAAATGAGGGAGGCCTTAGCTCTAAAATCCTCCTTCTGAGGCAAGGCCCCAATCTCAGAAAATATGAAACGTGTCTATTCACAAAAATGCTTTAAAGAATAAGTAACGGAAGCAATGAAGACAAGTCCCCTGCTGCAAGGAGCTTACACTTTGCATGGAAATAGTAGTGGAAGCAGCAAGGCAGGACATTAAAAGGAATGGCAACGTTCGTGACATGTTGCTGGCCTATGTTATATCTCTAGGCTAGGGAAACAGGAGATTAAATTGTTATATCTCTAGGCTAGGGAAACAGGAGACAGAACTAAAGTGATTAAATTTAAGGCTTTATGTGGAAAGTGGGATTTCTTCAGGACCAAATTGGTGATTCTCACAGTATCTGGTATTTCTGGTCAGGAGCATCTCATCCATATCTATCCCTGCTATGTGATTTTGAGGTCCTCTTTATTTGGCAGGTGCTATGGACTGAATTACCCCAGGGTAAAGGAATTCATTTGGAGACAAGCTGATTATCTGCATGGGCTCCCAAGCCCCCAGCTGGCTTGTCTTAGTGGCGTTGACATTGTTCCCAGCATTTGGGGAGAAACAGCCACAGTAGTCCTGCCTTAACCAGTGAGTTTGCCAAGTCTATTTGGCCGTCTCTGTAGGAGACAAGAGTGCTGAATGAATCTAGAAAGCCATGCCTACCTAACTGTTCTCCCTCTTGCTCGCGCCAAACTCACGCTGGGAATCTGTCACAGCCCTTGCTTCGAGGGAGTCTCCCAAGGTCTGATCTTGGAGACTCAGTACCTACTTCAGTATCCCTCTGCCTTCCCTAATTTAGTGCTCCACAGATGGTGTGGGCGACATCTCCTCTCAGCTCAGGCAAGACGGTCAGATGGGCAGGGATGATGGGAGCTGTAAAGAAAGGGTGACAGGTTAGGAGTCATTGATGCATTGAAGTCGTTGGCTCATGCACTTCTCTGAAATCTCACCCATTAGAAGTAAGATTGATGTCAACTAGAAAAAGAGCTGTTTCGATGATGGTGTTGCAGTTGGAGAATATATCTCCCAGGAATGCTTATCTGGTGCCAACCTCATCTTTTGGGCACTAGACAGAAAACCCGATATTCATCCAGGAACAAATAAGGAATTGCTGCCTTTAATACAAGTTTATTCCCACCTACAACCCCCCTCCCCCCATTATTGTCCTCTGTATTAGTTCCTTGGTCAATTTATACATTTTGCCTGTCAATTTCACTTCTTTTGAGTTAACATTGACGGTACAATCCAATTTCCCCCAATTTTCTCCTAATTTTGGCTCTATGTTTTTGACATGCCCTTTTTAATTTTTGACGGTTTGTTTCTTGTAGTAGTTTGTATTTCAGTTTTGTTCATATGCTTTTATAGCCTTATAAGCTACTCTGGAACCATGTTTCTATGAAGATGGATGAACACACAGACAGACTGGCAAACCGACAGTACCTGATCTTAGGAGGACTTTGGGGTGGGGGAGCACAGTGGTTTCCTTTCCCCATGTTTAGTGTGATTTGCAGTAGCCAAGTGTGTGGAGCTCAGGTTTTAATACGTAAGGGAGAGCATCTTTTACAGACTAATGATCTCCCTTTTCTCCCCCCTTTCATTGTTCTAGCTATGCTGTGACTGTTCAGGAATCGTATGCGCACCCCTTTGATCAGATCTATTACACGAGATGTACAGATATCCTGAACTGGTTCAAGTGCACTCGACACAGGTAAGTGGCGATTGGAAGATATTTCAAACCTTTCTCTGCCTTTTCATCTTCTCTGTATCACCGTCTTTTTATCTGTACCTTTGTGATGCTCTCAAGATGCTGGGGATAAATATAGATCCTCTCTTTGTTGGTATTCTCCTGCAAAATTAAAGAGACTGGAAATGGACTTTTTTTATGAGAACATTTTCATATTTTTGAAAATACGACCAATTTAGGACTGTAAACTTGTGATTAATTTATTTTAGCCTTTTGCCACAAAGGTGGGAGCGGTCATATAGATGAGTGGTATGTCTACAATCTCTCACTCCAAGCTTCTCTCTTGCTTTCTGTTGAATATAAGACTATCCAGTCCAAAAATAAATAATTATTGTCAACTGAGGTGAGATAGGCAGGAAATAATCTTTACTAACTGAGGCTTGATGTGAGAATTATGGGCTCCAATTGAAACATCAGTATGCTTTATTTGATAGAGCAAGTACTTCTAGATCTACCCATATGCAAATCCCCCCTTGATTCTTGAGTCTTTCTGCATGAATATGCATTTAGAAACCATTTCTGACAAAATACAGGCCAGGAAGAATATCATCTCCTTAGTCATCATTAAGTCAACCCTGCCTAGAAACGCTCTGTGTATTAATGCGGTATTGATATGGGAGAGCAGGGCTAAGAAGTAGGAAGAAAGGTGTCTTCTAAAACTTTAACACCATCTTCTGGTCTTTCCACTCCAAAGCATGAAGAGGTGGAAGAAAGTCTTGGAAACAGAAAGTCAGAACGTATGGCCAGTCAGGATTTCTGGAATAGGCTGTACCTTTCTCATGCCTATAGCATAAGCAACATAAAATGGAGGAATGTGACCAATATATGCATACTGGATAATTAAGAGGATTTTTTTTAACTGTGAAAAGTACAGGCAACAATAATGTTGACACTAACAGGAGCGTCTTTCATTATTACATCATTAGTACACCATGAGCTAATTAATGTCAACTACTCTGAGCAGCTCTGATTCTTGCACTGCAGCAGCAGCAATATGTGTTTAGCTGGATCCATGTGGCTTGGGCAGTTGGCTCTTTTGCTTCATCTCTGGCATGGTCTGTAGCCTTTTAGGAGTGAGCAGAGGAAGCAACTTTTCAATGAGTTGCCCATTGGCCCAGAATGATCAACTCCGACTTGTAGTGGCTCTTCAGGCGGAATTCACTCTTTATTTCCCCCCGGAGATGCTGGGGATTGGGCGTGGGACCTTCTGCAAGCAAAATAGGTATTCTGCAACAGAACTACAGCCCCCTCCTCTCCACAGCCCTTAATATTCCTCTGTGATTACTATCCAAGTTCTAATCAGTCCTGTTTAATAATAATCAAGTGCTGTCAAGTCAATTCTGACTTATGGCGACCCTCTCCAGGGTTTTCTAGGTACAGAGTACTAAGAAGAGGTTGACCATTCCCTAATTCTGGGAGCCTCTTGGGACTGTGCAGCTTGCCAATGGCTACAGAGGCTGACTCTTTTCCTAGGAAAGACAGAGGGGAAATCAAATCTCCAACCTCTGGCTTTGCAGCCAGATACCTAAATCACTGACCTAAATGAGCACCACCCTGCTTAGTTTCTGAAATTAAAGAGGGTCAGGGATGTTCAGAATTGTGTGTCATGGAAGCTCTCCCTTCTTGAGGTTGGGGCATGATGATAATAAATTACCATGTGTGGCAAAACGTTGTTGGAGTGCAGAGGTGTCCTGCTGTTAGATCCTAAGCGCTAGGTCTTGGCTGGCTACAGCGTAAATAGATGAAGCAGGGCTGGAAGGAGAGTCCAGAATCCGGGTCAAAGCAATGCAGAGGTCTACAAGCAGAGCCTTACAGGGGAGTCAGGGAAACTGGGTTTCTGCAGATCCAAGGGAAAAGTCCAAGATCAATCCAGTGTCAAGTCAGTTCTTTTGCAACTGAAGACAAACAGGAAAAGCCCAAGAAACACAGTCAAGTAGTCTAAAAACCAAATAGGGGGCAAGGAATCGGCTGCAAGGTTTAGGCTACACAGCAAGCAAGCAAGCTCTGGAGGAAGAAGAGGCCCTGTCACCAGCAAGCCTCCCAGTCCTCGCCTACAGTTTATATGGCTGAACTGCTGGAGCCCCATAGAGAGCTCAACTTCAGATATTTGGCAGCTGGGAAAGAAACTGAGGATCTGGCTTGCTGGCAGGAGGAGTTTTTTCCTGACAGTGATGTACTGGCAAGCAAGCTCTGGAGGAAGAAGAGGCCCAGTCACCAGGAAGCTCCAGTCCAGTGGTGTACTACTCTTGAGGAGGTCTCTCCTCCCAAGGAATCTGAAGCTGGACAACTCTACTTAGAATCATACCATAATGGAGTTGGAAGGGGCCTGTAAGGCCATTGAGTCCAACCCCTCACTCCGTACAAGAATCTAAATCAAAGTATATCTAACAGAGGGTTGTCAACCTTTCTTCTGAATGGCTCTGGTGTCAAGAGTGCTCACGACCTCTTGAGGTAATTGGTCATACTGCTCTAATAGTTAGGAAGTTTTTCTTAAGATTCAAGCAAAACCTGACTTTCTATAGCTTGAGCCCATTATTGCATGTCCTGCATTCTGGAAAGACTGAGAACAGATCCTGCCCTTCCTCTGTATGAGAGCCTTTCAAGTATTTGAAAAGTGTAATCCTGTCTCCCCTCTGCTTTTCTTTCTTCAAGGATAAACATGCCCAGTTCTTTCAGTCTTTCCTCCTAGGGCTTGGTTTCCAGTCCCCTGATCATCCTTGTCGCCCTCCTCTGAAATTGTTCCAATTTGTTAGCATCTTTCTTGAAGTGTGGTGTCCAGAACTAGACACAGTACTCGGTGATGAAGCCTAACCAGTGCTGAATGGAGGGGAACTATACTTAATAGGATATGTGGACTATACTTCCGTTAATGCATCCGAAAATAGCATTGGCCTTTTTTGCCACATCATATTGTTGGTTCATATTCAGTTTGTGATCTACAGTAATTCTAAGACCCTTCTTGCTCCTAACGTTAGTGAGCCAAGTACCACCCCCCATCTTGTATCTCTGCTTTATTTTTTTCCTCCCTAGGTGTAGAACTTTGCAATTATCTCTGTGAAATTTCATTCTGTTGTTTTCAGCCCAGAATTCAAGATTTGGCAGGTCTGGCTATTACTCTGCTATGATGAGGGGTTCTGGTTTATCCTCGCCTACTTGGTGAGAAGTATCTCCGTGTCTTGTACACATTTAACTGATTTTCTTAATGAGCTCAGGGAGCTGAAACAGACATAGGATTTTGATATTCGTTTTCTATCTCACAGAGTGAAAACTGGTTAAAGTATAATCATCAAAAACTGTTGTGCATTTTAAAGTAATTATAGAGCATAGCCACCTTGCAGTAACATAAAATAAATAGAATTTTGGTTGTGAGCATTGATTTCCAATGTATTTTTTTTCTGTCTTACAATTTAGAATAAGTTATAAGACGGCATATCGGAGGGGACTGAGAACCATGTACCGTCGACGGTCCCAATGCTGCCCAGGATATTACGAAAGTGGAGACTTCTGCATCCGTATGTATACAAGGCTTGCTTTTTTCCTTTTTCTTTAGTTTTTATTCTGGTCTTGGTGTTGGTTTCTCTAGAGAGCCAATGCCAGTGTGTAAAGTATGTGGCGGAAGAGTCTGAGTTTGGGAATTCATTTCCCTATTGTGCCTTCTGGGAGGAAAGCGAGCTTATGTAGCCTGGGGCAAGTTACACAGTCCCAGAGAAGAGAATATAGAACCACTTCAGATTACTTTACATATGGAAAATCCAGACTGTGCAAATAGCATTATTTATAGTCCCATAAAGGGACATGGTGGCACTGCGGGTTAAACTGCAGAAGCCTTCGTGCTGCAAGGTCAGAAGACCAGCTGTCATAAGATCGAATCCACGCGATGAAGGGAGCTCCCGTCGTTTGTCCCAGCTCCTGCCAACCTAGCGGTTGGAAAGCATGTAAATGCGAGTGGATAAATAGGTACCACCTCAGTGGGAAGGTAACGGCATTCCGTGTCTAGTTGCACTGGCCACGTGACCACAGAAACTGTCTACAGACAAATGCTGGCTCTATGGCTTGGAAACGGAGATGAGAACCATTGGACACGACTGGACTAAATGTCAAAGGGAACCTTTACCTTTACCATAAAGCTAGTGCAGAGCAGACTCATCCATGATCTCCTGTTCCAGCTGTGCAAGCTGCTTTTGGGGAAGCCCACCTAGGGTCATAGAAAGAAGCAGGAAACTGAACTGGTTGGACTTGGGCAGTGCAGGACTGTGAACCGAATCATATCTACACTTGGGCAGTGCAGGACTGTGAACCGAATGAAGCAAATAGAGTATTCAAAAGCAATTACATATTAATTAATATTAAAACAAAAGTAAATAAAGAAAACCATTTAAATACTATTAAAAATCTCTAGATTTAATAAATACAGCATTCCCTAGACCTCCAATTATTGCTTTTCAGAAAAGGAGAGTCGGGTGACAGAAGGACAAGCGGGAGGGGGCCAACCTGGCTTCTCAAGGCAGTTCTGAGCTGAAATAATTCATCAGGGTTCCCAGTTAAGGACCTCTTGCTGTAGTGTGGAGGAAGTAGAGATTGAAAGTGACTAGTGCCCCCCCCAAAAAAGGTTACATAATTAATTCCTGTTTGCAGTATCAGATAAAGGTAAAGGTTCCCCTTAGTCCAGTCGTGTCCAGCTCTAGGGGCCGGTACTCATCCCCGTTTCCAAGCTGTAGAGCCAGCGTTTGTCCGAAGACAGTTTCCCGTGGTCACATGGCCCGTATGACTTATACACAGAACAGCGTTACCTTCCCACCATGATGGTACCTCTTTATCTACTCGCATTTACATGCTTTCAAACTGCTGGGTTGGCAGGAGCTGGGGCAAGCGATGGGAGCTCACTCCGTCACGTGGATTCGATCTTATGACGGCTGGTCTTCTGACCTCGCAGCACAGAGGCTTCTGCGGTTTAACCTGCAGTGCCATCACGTCCCTTACATTGCAATTGTAATTTAATAAAGCATAATATAACTCATTTTACAGTTTAACAGTAAAAGCATGTGCATATTTACAATTGCAGCAGAGTGGTTTCTGGGCATGGGCCTTTCAGATATTTTTCACGACCGCTCCAAGAAATCACCAGGAATGTGCCCAGGGTTTAGGAAATGATTGTCCTGGCCATACTGATTTGATCTCGAATAGTTGGAATGCCAGCAGGAAATGCCAGCAGCACTGGGGAAGCCGAGGACAGGTTGCACTGGGAGTGGGCCCCTCCCCTGGGTGGCACGGACAGGCCGACTGGAGCAGCAGCAGAGAGCCTGTGCCGGGTGGGGACTGTGCCAACAGCACGGCATGCAAACCTAGGTCCCTCCACATGGAGGGAGTGAGCACAATCCTGGAGTAGCAGAAGGAGTGGGTAAAAGACTCAGTCCTGGCCTATCTAGTGCTATGAGCAGAGTGTGCCATTCTCTGTTACTCAGAGAAGCCTAGCGATGGTAAGGTGACCTTAAGGATAATTAAGTTTTTCTATAGAGCCTTGTTCCAGGCATGAGCCGTGCGGACTGGGCACACAAGGGGGGGGTGAGACAGCAGTCCCACTGCCCATTTGGCCACACATCCCCAAATCCGACTCCTTCTCAGCCCAGTAAGACAAAGGGGTTGGTCTCTTTTGGCTTGCAGGACTCCGGCACGTATGCCTCTACCTCTGCCGTGTCCTTCCTTTGGGGGGGGGGAGTGTCTCTGGAGAACAGGTTCCTAC